ACATTGCGCCCATACTCCATCACCGAAATATTCTGTTGCTGGCAGAGAGTATAGATAATTTTCTGTCACATGTCCCCTGACGCCGCCACATTCAAGACACTGAGTCCTTTCCCTGTCTGTAAAAATACCTCTTTCACATGATGTGAAAGACTGATACTTTTCAAAACTAATTCCTAGATATTTTAGTGAATCACTCTTTAAATTATCACCGTTTATCATGATGTCCAGCAACACATCTCTAACAATTCTTTAGAACACCACATTCCCACCATGGTATCTGAGCAGACGACCGTATCTGTTTCCTCACACATCTCACCGACCTTATCTACCCCAAATGCACTTCTCTAGTCATAAGATCGACTAATCTGTCTGTTTGTCGCCTCGAGTTTGCTAGCTAAATGTTTGCCATATCATCGTGAGATTAAAACAATAATCTGTATGGCAGACCAACACGGCGGATCCCAGATATCCTGTATAATCTCCAAAGGCGGAGGAGGAGAAGAAGAAGACGATGGATGAGAAGGAGTAGGAGAAAAAGAAGAAGAAGAAAAAGAAGAAGAAGAAGAAGAGGAAGAAGAAGAAGAAGAAGAAGAAGAAGAAGAAGAAGAAGAAGAAGAAGAAGAAGAAGAAGAAGAAGAAGAAGAAGAAGAAGAAGAAGAAGAAGAAGAAGAAGAAGAAGAAGAAGAAGAAGAAGAAGAAGAAGAAGAAAAAGAAAGAAAGAAAGAAAGAAAAAGAAAGAAATTAGTTAGTTAGTTAGTTAGTTAGTTAGTTAGTTAGTTAGTTAGTTAGTTAGTTAGTTAGTTAGTTAGTTAGTTAGTTGGGTTATCATCATTGCACTCCGGACATGTCCATAGGTGTTCAGATCCTTCCCTCAGTATGAACCCCAACGTCCGATTGCTAATAGTACCGGTTCTATGTTGATTAACAAGTCTTCTGACGAGTCCTGTGTGCGTCTCGTTTTTTGCTGTGCCGATCTTAATTCCCAAGTCTGCCATTCTGGCGAGTGATGTGGATTCACTGCCATCAAAGTAAAAAAAAAAGTCAAAAAGAAAGAAAAAAAGAAAGAAAGAAAGAAAGAAAGAGAGAAAGAAAGAAAGAAAGAAAGAAAGAAAGAAAGAAAGAAAGAAAGAAAGAAAGAAAGAAAGAAAGAAAGAAAGAAAGAAAGAAAGAAAGAAAGAAAGAAAGAAAGAAAGAAAGAAAGAAAGAAAGAAAGAAAGAAAGAAAGAAAGAAAGAAAGAAAGAAAGAAAGAAAGAAAGAAAGAAAGAAAGAAAGAAAGAAAGAAAGAAAGAAAGAAAGAAAGAAAGAAAGAAAGAAAGAAAGAAAGAAAGAAAGAAAGAAAAAAGGAATAAAGTAATGGAAAAAAAAAAAAAAGAAGAAAGAAAGATTAGAAAAAAGAATTAATGAATACATGGATGAAATGAATGAATCTGTCTGACAGCATTCATTTATAGATTTGCCCATAGAGGAATTGATCAAAAATGTGATCCATTCTATGGACCTGTCACAGTCCAATACACGGCCGTCCAATACAGGCTAAGAGCAAGTATCCATTTCCGCCCTGGACATTTCTGACGCACGGGGACATGAATCATTCTCACGTAGCTGCCTCATGGAGCCATCCTGTGTATGGTTTATTTCGGCCTATTTAAGTACTTGCTGGTTTATTTCAGCGCTTTAAGGTTTATTTCAGTGCTTCAAGGTTTATTTCAGCGCTTTAAGGTTTATTTCAGTACTTTAAGGTTTTTTCCCAGCGCTTTAATGTTTGTTTCAGCGCCCTAAGGTTTATTTCAGCGCTTTGAGGTTTTTCCAGCGCTTTAAGGTTTATTTCAGCACTTCAATGTTTATTTCAGCGCTTTAGGGTTTTTTCCAGCGCTTTAAGGTTTATTTCAGTGCTAAAAGGTTTATTTCAGCTTTAAGTATTATTTCACAGCTTTGAGCTTTATTTCAGCGCTTTCTGGTTTATTTCAGTGCTTTCTGGTTTATTTCTGGTTTATTTCAGTGCTTTCTGGTTTATTTCAGCGCTTTAAGGTTTATTCCAGCGCTTTAAAGTTTATTTCAGCACTTTAAGGTTTTTTTCCAGCGCTTTAAGGTTTTTTCAGCGCTTGAAGGTTTATTTCAGCGCTTTAAGGTTTATTTCAGCGCTTTAAGGTTTATTCCAGCGCTTTAAAGTTTATTTCAGCACTTTAAGGTTTTTTTTCCAGCGCTTTAAGGTTTTTTCAGCGCTTGAAGGTTTATTTCAGCGCTTTAAGGTTTATTCCAGCGCTTTAAGGTTTTTACCAGCGCTGTAAGGTTTATTTCAGCGCTTTAAGGTTTTTTCCAGCGCTTTAAGGTTTATTCCAGCGCTTTAAGGTTTATTTCAGTGCTTTAAGGTTTTTCCCACTTTTTAAGGTTTATTTCAGCACTTCAAGGTTCATGTCAGCGCTTTAAGGTTTATTTCAGCGCTTTAAGGTTTATTTCAGCGCTGTAAGCTTTTCCCAGTGCTTTATGGTTTATTTCAGCTCTTCAAGGTTTATTTTAGCGCTTTAAGGTTTTTCTATCACTTTAAGGGTTATTTCAGCGCTTTAAGGTTTTTCCAGTGCTTTAAGGTTTATTTCAGCGCTTTAAGGTTTTTCCAGCGCTTTCTGGTTTATTTCTGCGCTTTCTGGTTTATTTAGCGCCCTGGCACCCATTTAAGGCGGGGTCGACCTAGGAGCCGACATTATTTTTTTTAGTCTGGTTCCGTCAGGACCTAAATGCAAGACCGTCGCATTCGTAGGCGAGCGTCTAGCCGCTACACCATGGCAGCTCCTTCTATAATGCATACTTTAATTTTTTTAGGGTTGAGTGTGGAGCGGAGAATAGATATAACAGCAACGGGGACATTCCCATAAGCGCTCCGACCTCACGCCAGCAGCCAGCCAAGAGTTCCAATTCCGATGGTATCAGTAGCTGTCTGGTTATAGGTTGGCCTTGTTTCTGCTCCAGTTTTCTGTCTAGCTTGTGTCTGTTGTGTGGGTAACCAAGCCTTTTACTCCAGTTTTCTGTCTAGCGTGGGTCTGTTGTGTGGGCAACCACGCATTCTGCTCCAGTTTTCTGTCTGACGTGTGTCTGTAGTATGGGTAACCATACCTTTTACTCCAGTTGTCTGTCTAGCGTGTGTCTGTTGTGTGGGTAACCATGCCTTCTGCTCCAGTTTTCTGTCCAGCGTCTGTCTGTTGTGTGGGTAACTATGCCTTCTGCTCCAGTTTTCTGTCTAGCGTGTGTCTGTTGTGTGGGTAACCATGCCTTCTGCTCCAGTTTTCTGTCTAGCGTGGGTCTGTTGTGTGGGTAACCATGCCTTCTGCTCCAGTTTTCTGTCTAGCGTGGGTCTGTTGTGTGGGTAACCATGCCTTCTGCTCCAGTTTTCTGTCTAGTGTGGGTCTGTTGTGTGGGTAACCATGCCTTCTGCTCCAGTTTTCTGTCTAGCGTGGGTCTGTTGTGTGGGTAAGCATGCCTTCTGCTCCAGTTTTCTGTCTAGTGTGGGTCTGTTGTGTGGGGAACCATGCCTTCTGCTCCAGTTTTCTGTCTAGCGTGGGTCTGTTGTGTGGGTAAGCATGCCTTCTGCTCCAGTTTTCTGTCTAGTGTGGGTCTGTTGTGTGGGGAACCATGCCTTCTGCTCCAGTTTTCTGTCTAGCGTGGGTCTGTTGTGTGGGCAACCATGTCTTCTGCTCCAGTTTTCTGTCTAGCGTGGGTCTGTTGTGTGGGCAACCATGCCTTCTGCTCCAGTTTTCTGTCTATCGTGTGTCTGTTGTGTGGGTATTGATGCCCTTTTGCTCCAGTTTTCTGTCTAGCGTGGGTCTGTTGTGTGGGTAACCATGCCTTCTGCTCCAGTTTTCTGTCTAGCGTGTGTCTGGTGTGTGGGTAACCATGCCTTCTGCTCCAGTTTTCTGTCCAGCGTGTGTCTGTTGTGTGGGTAACTATGCCTTTTGCTCTAGTTTTCTGTCATGCCTTTTGCTCCAGTTTTCTGTCTAGCGTGGGTCTGTTGTGTGGGTAACCATGCCTTCTGCTCCAGTTTTCTTTCTAGCGCGTGTCTGTTGTGTGGGTAACCATGCCTTCTGCTCCAGTTTTCTGTCTAGCGTGGGTCTGTTGTGTGGGTAACCATGCCTTCTGCTCCAGTTTTCTGTCTAGCGCGTGTCTGTAGTGGGGGTAACCATTCCTACCTCGAGGAATCCTCCAATGCTGGTCTCTTTTTCTTGGCATTCACCAGCTGTTCACTCCGGCTGAAAGTTCTGTTGTTCGTCAACTTCTGAACTTTGATCTCGTTTCACAACCTGAATTGTGCATGCACGTCCGTTTTACAGATCGAGGTTATTTGTATGCAGACCGCTAATGCCTCACATGTAAGGCAGATGCTCTTCGACTTCAAAGGAAACACCACTAATTAGTGACCTTCTGTAAAATGCTTGTTGGGATGCAGTGAGTCTGTCCACAAAGTGGGATGGTGGCCTCAGCACGGTTTAATAAGGAGGCTTCCTCATCTCCAAAGAGCTTTGGGAAGGAGGCTTAGAGTGGCCCAACCCCTAGATAACAAGTGGCTTGCCATGCTCAGTAAAGAAACATAAGAGAAACAGTAACTCGTGTAATTGAAAGAATATTCATTATGTGCCTGTTTGACATTTACTATAGGACCAGACAAAGCCAAATTTGGCGGGCTTTCTACATGATTATGAAAATTGGACTCCTAACACTTTCAGCCATTTTTATCGCCGTCCTCACGATGACACATAATCACTCAGGTTATCTGGTATCATTTCCAGGATCTGCTCACTGGACACTGTAATTACAAGCGTTGTCACGGTAATCAACAGTGCCCCCATATAAACCAAAAACACATCAATCATATGTCTCCTGACTGGGCCAGAAAGATGAGCATTTGTGGAACCAAACGAGGTGTGGGCAGTCTCGCAGCCGCAGTGATTCAGGGCGCTTGTATTACTGAGTAGTTCGCTACAGGACCTAGTTGGCTGAGAACAAGAAGATAATGCACAAATCCGAATCGGCATCTAACATTGATGTCGTTGATTATGACGACATGTTTAATATATCAGGGGAAATGTGGTTCAATTTGTCTTGCGACAACCTCAAGGTAAGTATTATTATTTATACAAGTAATGTCTCGTTCAACCATCGTGGGATCTAGAGTGTATCTTTAATTTGCACTTTTGCTACTTAAAATTGTAAATGTATAATAAACATGACAATATCTTTCAGATAGTTATCGTTTTTATATAATTGTTTTTTTTTTAAATTACTATGCTCATACCTTCTAGGTTTTGATATAGCAGCAGCAATAGTAGTAGCACTATAGTCCATGCCAAAAGTAGTGCCCAGCTTTAAAATCTGTTACTCAGTAACCGTTCAGTGTAAGCTGTTGAAATTTGACATGAAACCTGTTAATAAACATGTCCTTGAAAGAATCTTTTAAAAATATAAACAAACATATAATTTTCATATAGCCTTATTTCCTGCATATGAAAAAAAAAAAAATTCAATGCAAACAGTCAGCAATGTTACGGTTCGCTGAGTAACAGGAATTTTTCAAAACATCAAACTGCACGCGTTGTGTACACGTTTTACTCTCAGGTGATCATCTCTAGCATAAGTCTCCCGTGAGTCAGATAAGCGCAGTGGTTAACTGTGTGCACGATAGTTTATCAAAATAATCAGAACGCATCGCTACACAAAACTGATTTCCAAATAATCTCCACGCGTGGATCAATTACTGTATATTCATTTTTTATGGATACACAAACTATCAATGGTGCAAGTACGAACTCGACCCAGCACATTGTGATGAGTAACGAAGTCGGGCACAGGACACTGCCATTGGATGTTCACTCAAGTGTCTTAACCTTTGAGACTTGTAAGTCTACGTGGCAGAGGTGTCAGGTTGGTCCGAGGTGGTATTGTGTCGACGGTCTCCCTAAAAAAAAAATGAATATACAGTAACGAACATACGCTTTGAGATTGTTTGGAAATAAGTTTACACGTGCTCTTGTTTACAGGATGTGAGCTGTTTTAACGACCCCATAACATGTACAGCTGGCCCTAACCACAACGCCCTCTCATCCCACACACTGAGCCTAGGTCCTACTAGAGAGTGCATTCTACGCCCCGTGATTTCAGAATTCTTAACATCTTGCGGTGGCTCCCAAAACACTGTATTGCTCCAGAAACGCAAAGGTACCCTCCTCGTCGCAAGCCAACGCTGAAAGCTCAAATAAACCCATGTCCTACTTAAAATCCTAGACGCCTTTCATATACCCACCAGCAAACACTAATTCTGCTAACAAGTAAAAATGCAATATCGGCGGCTGCTGCTCGTAGCAGAAAGCTTTGTGAAGACAACCTTACACTGAGACACCCCTCTAACGTAAACTAGCCTCAGTAAGCATCAATGAAAGCTTAGCTATTGTGTAGCACGGCCCGAGTTCGTTCCTTGTTCCTTATTAGTCAAACAACAAATAACAATTAAAATTAAATAAAAAAAAAAAAACGCCGCTCTAAGAAAACAGTAGCGCGTGTGCAATTATAAATTATATAATCATAAGGGCGTATTAAATCCAAGGCCACATGCAAGCTTTCGTGTTGATTCGTAGTTTTCTAGACATTTTAAACGTGCTATAATAGTAGTGGTGGTGGTGGTGGTGGTAGTGGTAGTGGTGGTAGTGGTGGTGGTGGTGGTAGTGGTGGTGGTGGTGGTAGTGGTGGTGGTAGTGGTGGTAGTGGTAGTGGTAGTGGTGGTTGTTATTGAAGGCGAGGAAGAAACGGAAGAAAAATATAGGGCGCATGTTGAAAAAACCCGAGAGCAAATATCACTAGAAGAGCAGGTATGTGTGTTTATACTGTTCCCGATCTATCATATTCTACACAAAACCTGTCTACAGATCCGAAACCAGTTCTCCAAGAACATTGTAGAACCAGTCATTTGTGGGTGTGGAATTGCAGGCATCATTCTAACCATGGTCGTGCTGAGCCGCAAGATTATGTGTACCTCCACTAACTGCTACCTGACCGCTCTAGCGGTGGCCGATCTACTCTTCCTGCTGATCCTGGCTTCACGACTCTACGTCGACAAAATGGAGAACTGTGACTTCCATCTCAGCAGTAGGGCAGCTTTGTTTTTCGTCTACTCAAGTAAGAACATCTATTAGAAATTAAATAGATACACACAGATAATGAATGTTGCTACTGAAGCCTTTGTATAAGAAAATTGCTCCATGTCTTCGGTTGAAAAGGGCAGTGGCTGATTTTTCATTTGATTACCCATCCCCCACCTCTAATGATCTTTTCATGTTATTTACAGTCCCAGTTTAAACCAATAACCCCGGGTAATACAGTTCAAAATGTCTAACATTGCTGACAGATAATGTGGAGGTAAAATAGATAGCGCACGACACTCTAAACCAGACCTATTCACCTCCCCCCTTCCACTTCCTCATCTTCGTGTTCGTCGTTCTTCTTCTTCTTCTTCTTCTTCTTCTTCTTCTTCTTCTTCTTCTTCTCTTCTTCTTCTTCTTCTTCTTCTTCTTCTTCTTCTTCTCCACCCCTCCCCTCTTCTTCTTTAAGGGGCTGGTTCAACCATTGGTTTACCAGAAGATTGAATTACTACGTCAGAAATTTATTTAAAATGTGTGTCAGCAACATAAAAAGATTAGACATGTCTGCTCTAAAGACGCCTATCTTTTCTCATCACATGAGAATCACTCTCACATTTAAAAGGAGTTACATATTTATTCATTGATTTGTAGCTCTATTTATTTTTAAGAACACAAAACTTTGAAGGCATTTTAAAAAATCACACTAAGCACAAGGCAACTAAAGATGACCGTGAAAGCAACAGAACCTTGAAGACAGAGGGCCTGCTCATATGACGTCACACACACACGTGAGACCTATCCTAAAGATGGTCGTGGCTCTAGACAAAAGAAAAATATTGGGACAAATAAACAACTGACACGCCGTCTGGGTTAAATAAGATGATGTATGTCCACTCTTGTCTAAAGCTTGACATCTTGTGTCTGCAGTTATCTTCATGGATGTCTTCCATTATCTGACAGTGGGCATCACCGTCATGTTGGCTGTGGAACGATACGTGGCCATCTGTCATCCTTTGAAGGCGCTGGCTTTCTGCACGGTAAGGAGACCTGTTGCCGTTTAACTCTTGATGTTTCAAACAACGAACTGTGAGTCGATGGGTTTTTATTAGCATGTACCAGTCAACATGTTAATAATGTTTTCACATCAGTGAGGGACTTGAAAGAACTCTAATGACATAACTGCTTGCTGCAAAATTGACACATTTGGCCCCTCTGGAGGTACAGTACCCGTGAGTTTAGCCCTGCCATTACGAAGTCCCTCGGACATGAGATAGTATCTTGTGTGACTGAAATAGTTAAGTCTTTATTACTTACATTTTTTTTTCTCAGGTTCCTCCCATTTCGAAATGAAATCGACAATGCTGGATTTTATTCTTTGATTCATACATCTTTTTTGACTTGTGAAACAGGTTCATGAAATTTGTTTTTTATTGTTGCTTGGAGAGGGCGTGTGGGTGGATGGGTCCAATTCCAGTTCCGATTCACCCAACAAAAATTCCAGATTTGATCCTTTTTCAGCCGCCCGGAGGCCTGCTATATGAAGGAAGGTTCCTTGGCTGTCTTATTTGATTTCATTTTATTTGTGGTGTGTAGTCCCACCTGATATTCCGGTTCTTTGCTTCCTGGGTGGATGGTTGTTGTGGTGCTGGATCTTATAGAGACACAACTCCGCATTTATGAATAACACATCTATGACCATATTTAAAGTCAGACTGGGGAGGAGACTTTCTAAACAACCGATACCAACGTATCATTGACGTGGGGGAAATGTTGCAGAACACTACATCCACTCTCCAGTATATATAATTTAAAAAATTTATATATATTGATCTGTACTCATAGAAAGAAGCAGAAAGATAGAAAAGCACACAGCACAACATGACAATCGAAAGCTATAGTTAATATGCCGGGTAAAGAATCGGCCGCCTCCAAATGAATCAAGCGTCTGGCCACAGGACGAGGTATACTAAGGGCCTTACTGACTGACTGACTTTCTACCCCACCAGGACATCACACAAGCGATAAACACCCGATGACACAAAGTGCCACCATGTGGATGAGGATCACCGTGGAGAGGTCCCAGAAACCGCGTTCAGAAAATTCTCCATATTTATGGCCCGTCTATATTGCGGCCCCTGGCAAAAGCCAGGGTGGGGCTTCAAATAACAAAAAATCTCATCCTAAAAAGGACGTAAAGGTTAATTACTTGTACCAGGTAAGTGCTTTCTACTAAGGTATGGGTTCTGGGACCTCATTTGGGGACAGAAATAATACATCCACTACACTAACAATAACAAGCATGGAATAATTGTCGACTATTTAGGGGAGTTTTATTCTAAATCGGAGTGCATCTACCTGAGAGGAACCAACAAGCTGCATACAAATAGGCTGTATGTAAAACAGATGTGCATAGGTGTCTCAAGTTGTGGAACAAGACCAAAGTCCAGAAGTGAATGAACAGCTCGGGGTTTCCACAGTTCACAGCAGTTGAACATGAAAAAGAAAACTGCTGATAGAGAAGCCTGACCATCTCTCTAGCAAACCTCTACACCCCAAGGTAGAAGAGGATCGACTAAGTAAGAACGAAGCAAAGAAGAAGAAGAAGAAGAAGAAGAAGAAGAAGAAGAAGAAGAAGAAGAAGAAGAAGAAGAAGAAGAAGAAGAAGAAGAAGAAGAAGAAGAAGAAGAAGAAGAAGAAGAAGAAGAAGAAGAAGAAGAAGAAGAAAAAGAAAAAGAAGAAGAAGAAAAGAGGGTTATAAAACAGAGGTATGGGTCTACACTGGCACAGGAGCACGGGAGCTTGCGGGCTTTACCCATCGAAATCCATTATACAAAATATATCATTGGGCTGATTCCGATGTTGTATTTACGATGTAATTCGTCCATGGTTACATTATATAGTAAAATGTTATACTACAATTCCACCAGGTGAGACGAGCACGCATCATAATTGTGAGCCTGACGATTGTGTCGTTTATTCTGAGATCTCCAAAGTTTTTCGAGCTGGATATTAGCCATAGAGAAGTGGAGGGGCGGGCCAGGGAAATGATTGTTACATATGTTTATCTTTACAATGAAGGCATCTACACGTATATCGTCACAGGTAGGTGTGAAACATAAACTAATCATTTATGGTAACAACTGGTTATTAATAAGACAGAACAAGATCAGTTTTTTACATTGACACAAATACCCATAAAAGCAGTTTCCATATCACATTAGTAAGAGAACACAGAGATTGGTGTAACGATGTGGCAGAATTAGAGGTACAACAAGTGAATGATGACAAGGCTGGGCTTGATGATGCAGTAGTGTACACCGATGGTTCTGTACGTCTTCCTGGGGATTGCCAGCTGGGATGAAGAGCAAGATCATGGCAGAACAAAATGGAGTAAAAGAAGCACTATAGAAACTTATGACATTAACTAAGCTAAGCATTAGCAAAACTTACTTACTTATTCGCTCCTCTTCTACCTTGGGGTGTAGAGGTTTGTCAGAGAGATCGCCAGACGTCTCTATCAGCAGTTTTCTTTCTGGCTTTGTTCCATTCCAGTCCTCCGTCAGTTAGGCACTGTCTGATGTTGTCTTCCCAGCTGACCCCGGGTCGTCCTGGAGATCTGGTTCCCTGGTTCTTAGGCTCCCATGCCTGCCATGGTGGCTGATTTTCTCCCATTCTGCATACATGTCTAAAACATCGTAACTGTGATCAAGGTCTTGACGTACTATCTGATTGCGGACTGTGTCCCTTCTTGTCACTTGGACCACTTTTCTCAGATATCTCATTTCTGAGACCTGAAGCTGCTTCTGTGAGCTGTTTTCATTGCCCATGACTCACACCCACAGATCAGGACTGGTACATTAACAAAACAGCAACAGGAAACTACATCTAATGTACCATTGTGACGGTTTTATGACACAAGCAATAAGATTTTTAAAAAATAGGAGAAGACTGCAGTTTTATGTAGGAGAAGACGAAAATACACTATCTGACGAACCTATTGTAAATCACAGGTTTTCTCTTGACCTTCCTACCACTGGTCAGTCTGTCCGTCCTGAACCTTCGGCTGGTCATGGAAATCAGAAGGTCGTACAGATACCTGCAGCACCACCTGGGAATGGACTGGCACGTCCGGTCAGTGGCGTACAAAGAAGAACATAAGATGACTATTATGTTGGTCAGTGTGGTCATGGCGTTCTTTATATGTCAGACTCCATACATGATATACAGGTGAGTTTGAGGATTATTCTATGTCATAATCGATGTCTGATTGAGTAGTAGTACATTTTACACCACTAGGACATCACACAAGCGATAAATACCCGATGACACAAAGTGCCATCATGTGGATGAGTATCACCCACGGAGAGGTTCCAGAAACAGCGTTCAGCCATTAAACCATATTTATGGCCAGGCTATATTGCGGCCCTGGCAAGAGCTAGGGTGGGGCTTTAATATATATATATATATATATATATATATATATATATATATATATATATATATATATATATATATATATATTGTCACATACCACTCGTGTCGCGTGCCTGATTTAAGGATTGCACCTTAAGAACCAACAGCACTCTGAAATAATAATGTTGAGGCGTTGGCTCGTATTGGTCTAAGGGAGATCCCGTGGCCAATATAAGCTCAACTTATTTCAGGAGTAGGGCACTCAAGCTTTGGCACTACAGAATATCTAATATTCCTAGGCACACTTAGCTGGACACCCCACTACTATAAAAAGATAGCCCCCAGGCTATGATAGTATAATATCATAGCCATGTTAACACAGATTACACTTACCAATCACACAAACATAAAAGCTAGACAGCTAGAATGGTGAAACAGGGACACCCAAGTCAGCCATTAAAATTTCTGAATGGATGTAATAATTTCAACTTATATATATATATATAAATAACAAGGCAATCAAGATGGTTTCCCGTGAATGGAGTTCAGGACTTAACGTCACAGCGATGATATTGAAACAGCCAGATATAGTTCACAGAGAGTACATGAATCATCACAGTGAATCATAGGTAGCCATGTAAATGGAGCATATGGCATGTCATCTCAGATGTTACTTATCCGATTTGGTAGGTCCATGGTGATTTGAACCGGCTGACTAAATAGATCGCTTTGCCTCGGGTTGATCTGGTAAACACTGATCGTCTCACATCCGAGGACAAAGGAACTGCACTGGAGCCCAACAAAGCTCCTGAAGAAGGATTCCTTGGATTGATGACACAGGTGGCCTGCAATACTGTCTCTCAGCCACTGAAACTCACACACAAGCTCCTGCCATGTTGAAGTTGTGGAAACAATAGGTAGGATTTTGGGTAGGTTTGGTGATAGGGATGGTATGGGTTGGTGATTGTTGGCTGGACTGTGACTCGTTTGCCTGACCTCTAAGAAGGTATCATCCTGTCAGGAAAGAACTCAGAATTAGTAATCATCTTAAGATTCACACACCAAGCTCAACTTATCTCCCGCTACCCTTCTCAGTCACTCAGAGGATACCCTCAAGAACAGGAGACAATGTCCTCATCATTCATCTGTCTGTAAGTCAGTACACCTGATAGAAGACAAGGTACATAGTGAAGATAGATAGACACTACTACACATAGATCATCCACTCTCCACCTTCCTATCAGCACCCGCAGACATACATTATATTCCGTTAGTATATGTATATATTTTATATCTCCACATCTGCCCACTGCACACCCAAGGTTGATGTGTTAAAATAACCTCCGACTCAGAGCGCCTAGCTTGCTTACGTCACAGCATCTAGTCGGCTGAAGGATGACCCAGTTTACATATGTCTGCTAGTCGTCACAAACTCCGTTGTCTGGTTAGAGAATAATTAACTTGCTGGGTTAAATATCTTTATAATGGTGTGGGTCATGTAAAGCACAAACCACTAGCCTGCGAATGGAAAGGTTTGGTTTTAGGGGCTTGAGTGTCTGGACATCAAGAACGGCCTAGTTATGTGCGGTCACACAGCTGAATATTCCCTCCCTGCAGCAGTGGCCAACTTTAAAAAGACATATATCAAGGTACTCGCAAACTATAATCAACTTACCCAAGCTTAGGAATCCTTCAGAGATTAAACTGGTATTTTGAATGCGCCAAAGTTTCATGAGAGAATTGAATTGTCTCTCGACACCTCAGAGGTCTGGCAAAAGAATGCCCGCCCCAGATTCCGCTTGTCGTCTCTAGAAAAGAAGTCATGTATTCGTGCCCAAGGAGTAAAAAGGCTTACATAAATTTCTGAATAATATTCAAGAAATATCCATCCCACAGTTGCAAGTTTGAAAATGTAGACTTCTCAAAACAACTAGAGGGTCTAGAAATGTTTATTTCACTAGATAGAGGTATATATCAATATGAGGGACTATATACCTCCCCGGACGGGTTTAAATTTGAAATGTGACGTGCCCGCTAGGGATGTCAGCGTCACGAATAGTCCACAGTGTAGGGTTGGCTGTTCACTCCGCGACATATATATATGCGAACGAAATATATATATATATATATATATATATATATATATATATATATATATATATATATATATATATATATATATATATATATATATATATGAGTTATTTATCTAAGGTACATCAAGCCACACGAAAGCCATTTTTTTAATTAGTCGATGGCGGAGGCAGAGGAGGAGAAAAAGAACAAGAGAAAGAGGACAACGAAGGAGGAGAAGAGGCAGTGGCAACTATGGAGGAGGGGGAACGGAACAATGAGGCAGTTGTAGAGGAGGAGGAGAAGAAGACATAAGAAGTTAAAATAATTTACACTGTATTACAATATTAGTTGCGTAACCTTTACCGACGTTGCAAAACCAGTTGCAGAACAAACAAAATCAGTTGCTTGCTGTTTGGTTTTAATAGGTAATTTTGCGTTCAGTAGTTTGCCACTTTCTCAATACCCTTATTGAAATCAACGCTAAGAAGTCTGCTGCCAAATCGGAGGCAGCTGGAATGAAACCGGCTACCTTGGAACTAAGAAGTTTGTTTGCAACGCCCAAGCCACAGATTAAAGATCACATACATTCATTTGTGGGAAAGCTGAAGTGTGTAAGCACACATTCGGGATATCCTGCATCTTAACTCAACCTGGACTTGCAGTCTCAACTTCTGAAGGCAATCTAAAAGGGGTTTGTTCAGTTAGGGACCACTTTTTCATCGCCACTAAACACTGCGAGTCGTTGGGTCAGCAGTTTCTGTTGACTGTTTGATCAGCTCTCTCCACCTTTGGCGGTCAGTTGCGATGGACGTCATGGTTGCAAGCTTGAGGCCTGTAAAGTCAGGTTCTGTATCCAGATCTTTTTTTAGTCTACCTCTTCTCCTCTTGAGAGGAGGCGTGGTGTAGTGACTAGACGCTCTCCTGCGGATCGGAAGGTCATGGGTTCAGGTCCTGATTGGGACCGGTATTTTCCTTTTAACGACTTTGGCCCCTAGATCGACCTAGCCTTGAGTGGGTATCAGAGATACTCCTGGGAAGTAAAGGTGACCGGCATGATTTTGACCACATTACCCACCGTGTGTCCATTAGTCTATAAAATATAGGTCTGGCCCTACATACCCAATACGCCCGAAGGCGTGGGAAATTCCTTTACTTTACTTTTACCCTTCTCATCCTCCCATCTACAGAGTCAAGTAGTACTGTTTTTGAGAGGCCTTTATTACCTGTTCGTACCATCGCATTTTTCGTCTTTTTTCCTATAGCTAAAACAAGTAGCATGTGATGTGGTACACACAAATGCTGAAGTGAGTCTGTTGTGTTTTACAGCTTCATTATCGCTATCGAGAAATTTGAAGTCACAGAGATGCCTACTGTGTCCTGGTGGGGGTTCTTCAAGTGTCTCTGCAACATCCTGCTGGCCCTCAAGTCATCCTGCAACTTCGTCCTCTACTGCTGGTTCTCTGAGAAGTTCTGGACTACCTTTAAGAGAATCTTCTGCCTGCAGCGTTGTCCACCCACACAGCCCACGATTCAGCCCAGCGAGATCTGCTACAACCATGTGAAAAGTATTACCCAGCAGTCGTGTCTCATCACTAAAGAGACAACTTGTTAGTTGCTGAACTGCCGTAGTAATACTGTAGACATAAAAGCTACACCGCTAAAACTGCACAGCATTGCTACAATGATTGTATGTCAGCAGCTAGACGCTGCGGATTTTACTGCGGAGGGGATCCGAGCACTTAAAGACTGAATAGTTTAATGTGCAGTAATGATAATCTGTAGACTAACTAACTAACTAAACTCGCTAACTTGCTTAACTAACTAACTAACTAACTAACTAACTAACTAACTAACTAACTAACTAACTAACTAACTAACTAACTAACTAACTAACTAACTAACTAACTAGTTTGCTAACTAACTAACTAACTAACTAACTAACTAACTAACTAACTAACTAACTAACTAACTAACTAACTAACTAACTAACAAGCTTGCTAACTAACTAGCTAACTAACTAACTAACTAACTAACTAACTAACTAACTAACTAACTAACTAACTAACTAACTAACTAACTAACTAACTAACTAACTAACTAACTAACTAACTAACTAACTAACTAGCTTGCTAACTAACTAGCTAGCTAACTAACTAACTAGCTTGCTAACTAACTAACTTGCTAACTAGCTTACTAACTAGCTAACTAATTAACTAACTAACTTGCTAACTAACTAACCAACTCGCTAACTGGCTAAACTAATTTAACTAACTAACTAGCTTGCTAACTAACTAACTAACTAGCTTGCTAACTAACTAACTAGCTTGCTAACTAACTAGCTTGCTAACTAACTAACTAGCTTGCTAACTAACTAGCTTGCTAACTAACTAACTAACTAACTAACTAACTAACTAGCTTGCTAACTAACTAACTAACTAACTAACTAGCTTGCTAACTAACTAACTAGCTTGCTAACTAACTAACTAACTAGCCTAACTAACTAACTAGCTTGCTAACTAACTAACTAACTAACTAGCTTGCTAACTAACTAACTAGCTTGCTAACTAACTAACTAGCTTGCTAACTAACTAGCTTGCTAACTAACTAACTAACTAACTAACTAACTAACTAACTAACTAACTAACTAACTAACTAACTAACTAACTTGCTAACTAACTAACTAACTTGCTAACTAGCTTGCTAACTAACTAACTAGCCTGCTAACTAACTAACTAACTAGCTTGCTAACTAACTAACTAACTAGCTTGCTAACTAACTAACTAACTAACTAACTAACTAACTAACTAACTAGCTAACTAACTAACTAACTAACTAGCTGCTAACTAACTAACTAACTAACTTGCTAACTAACTAACTAACTAACTAGCTAACTAACTAACTAACTAACTAACTAACTAACTAACTAACTAACTAACTAACTAACTAACTAACTAACTAACTAACTAACTAACTAACTAACTAACTAACTAACTACTAACTAACTAACTAACTAACTAGCTTGCTAACTAACTAGCTAACTAACTAACTAACTAACTAACTAACTTGCTAACTAACTAACTAACTAACTAACTAACTAGCTTGCTAACTAACTAACTAGCTAGCTAACTAACTAACTAACTAACTAACTAGCTTGCTAACTAACTAACTAACTAACTAACTAACTAACTAGCTAACTAACTAACTAACTAGCTAACTAACTAACTAACTAGCTTGCTAACTAAACTAACTAATTAAGCTTGCTAACTAAACTAACTAACTAACTAGCTTGCTAACTAACTAACTAGCTTGCTAACTAACTAACTAACTTGCTAACTAACTAACTAACTAACTAGCTAACTAACTAACTAGCTAACTCCGGGGTCCTGTTGTAGGGAAAACAAGAATAGACGCACTGCTTACCCACAAGCATGACATGAGGGACGCATAATTTGGAGCTTCTTTTGAAGTCGGAGTGAATCTGTTTGAGAGACAAAGGAACCAACAGTCTGCACAAATATGAGCGGACGAACAACCAGAACTGTCTGCCTGAGTAGACAGATGGTAAATGCAAAGAAGAACTAAGTACAATGATTGTAAGTAACAATGGGAAAAGTATCACCCAAGCAGGTTTGTCTCTTCACTAAAGAGGCAACCTGTTAACACTGAACTTTTGTAGTAATATTTTAGTGCTGTAGTTAATACTATTAAAACATCACAATAATGATTGTAACAATGTGAAAAGTATTAGCCAGTGGTCTTGTCTGATCACTGCCGAGACAACCTGTTAACATTGAACTTTTGTATAATATTGTATTTATGTAGTTAATTCTCTTACAATATCACAACACTACTATAACGATTGTACAATTAAAGTAATGAATCATAACACAATATTTGACACTTTAAACACACATACACACACCCACCCACCCCTACACAGAAGTGACAAATATACTTACAGAATGGCAAAATATTTCCATGCTTTATCAAACATCTTTCTATTTTTTTTTCCATTGAGGTGTCAAGTTTAAGGAAAGTATTACAGAATAATTATTAGCTTTTCGAGAAGAAGACAAAATATTTACTTTCCATCAAATCTGAGGGAGAACGGCCATGGTGTGGCGGCCAGATGTTGCCTGCAGATCTGAAAGTTGTGGATTCGAATCCGAACGGAGTCGGATTTTCTTCTCAAAAGTGACCCTGACTCCCAGGCTGACCCAGCCTTAAATGAGTACCAGGTAAAGTTCTGGAGAATGAAGGTGGCCGGCATAATGCTGACTATATCACACACTGAGCACCGATTAGTCTAAAATATATAGCCCACTACGTCTGAAACTGCGGAAAAGGGTCCTTTACATTCAGGTTATCAGATGTGAGCATCTAATGAAGCTGGTTCATAACAGAATCATGTATCCGAACTGGTATGTCGCAGTATGGTGTAACGAACGTGCGGACACGCTGGCAGGTAAAGCACCATTGCATGCGGGCAGAAGTATAGACATTATTAACACTGTAGGGCTAGACTAGTAGTGGGACAATGACGAGTCTCAGACTCTAGCCAGATTACATGACTCGCAAGTAAAGTCTGATTAAGCCTGGCTATGATGTTTTGAGGTGAAGATAAGAGTCATTGTAACAAACTTCTTTCGGGAACAATCATTAGAGGTATCTTGCTGTGGCTGCTGCCTTGGGGGACAGAGCACTGAGATGCTCAATGTGTGATGATGTCGATTGTGATGCATAACATGTATCGGAAACTCAAATAGATGGTCACTGAATTAACAGGACTATGTGACCTGGCAGTAAAGCCTGTGAAGAAAGTCTCTGAGGTTCTCAGGAAGCCATAACCAGTTTCTCATAGGGAGTCAGTTGAGGGATGGCAGGACAAGCTAAATGTGGCAAAAACCCTTTGGGAGCAAGTGAACAATGTGGAGGCATGAACAGATAGATACGGTCTGGAGAGAATGTTAGAGTGAGGAGTGATCAGGGGATATGCTCGACACACAACACGTAGAGGAAAGGCAAGATGGATCTGTAATCAAACTGCTGCTGGCAACATCAGAATTGGTACTCTTCACTGGCTGCTGCAGATGAGGACGGGGCGCTCATGGGAATCTCCAGAGAGCTCTGGTCTTAATTCTTTGCTCACCACTCAACAGGGCGACTACGGCATAGGAAAACTGAGCATGCATGGAAATGCGCATGTACATGGACGTCGATTGTGATAACATAACCAGACTCACATCGACATGTTTACACTTTAAATCATTAGTGCCCTTTGCAGTTGTATCCCTTTGTTGCTTTGCTAATAAAAGTCTTCACGTCCAACCAGCATCTCCGAAGGGGGAGCTTTAGGTTATAATTATGACTTGGTTATCTGAGCCATTCAATAATGGCTTGGCATTGCTCGCCACCAAGTAGCCCTGAAAAGGATTCCTGCAGTTTTAATGCAATCACAGGAGGCAGACCCAGATACTGTCCCAACCGGCGACGAACGGTCCGACAATGGGCGACCTGGTCGCCGATGAGTTGTGTCCCTTGTACTGGGTCATTTGTTTTGACATTTTGGAAGTGGCAGTAGATGTTTGAATAGGACAAACGCGCATACATGGATACTGCACAATCATCAAGTATCTTGCCGAGTGGTATGGACGATCATACTTATTAATGTTAAAAGGGGGGGGGGGGGGGGGGGGGGGGGGGGGGGGGTATTCTCATTGTCTTCCTCTTTCTCATACGATGACAGAGACAAATATGATTTAAAACACAATGATACAAGACAAGGCTTGAGTTTTTATCTGACATTGAAAGTTATAATAATGTAATCTGCTTATGTTTGCATTATTTCATCTACTTCTTCACATTCACCAGATATAAGCTACAGCAGAGGAGTTATGGTTGTTCAACCACTTCTGGACTTTTGTCTTGTTTCACAACTTGAAATTTGTGTGCATATATGTTCAACAGATATGGCATTTTTATGTGAATGCTGACTGTTGGCATCTTGTCTGTCAAGCAGAGGCAGTCTGACCTGGAAGCACACACTCCTAAACATCCACCTTTTAGGACATGCTTGCTAGGGAAAAGTGGGTCTTTTCAGCCCCCTCCCCATCCAATACCCACATGGCCCTAAAGCCCATACAGAAAGCTCAGACCATTTAAAGCTGAGAGAAACTATAGCACTATACTTGTAACAGACCTTTACATGTATCAGTCTCTCATAACAAATTTCACAGAGCAATAAAAAAGAATGCGACCCTCACAAAGGACTCAAAAACAAGACAGAATGAAAGACAAGACAGGTCGAAATATATGGTTAGAACTTTTAATGACATCTTTTAAACAAAACAAAAAAGTACATTAATAACACTATTAAGGCAATTGAGAACTGGAAGCACTGAGAATGATATAGAGCAAAGACTTGTCTTTATTTTTGTTATACCTTCATATTTCCACCTGTTATTGTGGGACAGGTGTAGCTCAGACTGTTAGTAACACTCTGCAAAGCTTGGAGGAAATCCAAAATGCAGAGATGTAAATAACAGTCTTTTGAAGACAGTCTGGTTTTGTCTTCTGTCAGTCAGACTCAGATAGGTGTCTTAGCTAAGGCCT